ATGGAAGGAATCTGTTCCAGACTGCATTTGTCTTTTGCCGAAGCTCAGACTCTTGCACAGGATCGGGAACGTTGGAAGCATTGTCTGGCGCGTCTGTCTCCGCGACCCGAAAGGAGAAGCGGCGATGGAAGATGAAGATGATGAAGAGCACGATAAATTTCAATATATAACGAAGGCACTATCATCTTGACGCTAGTCCTATTTTGAAACCAAAGCAAACAGTTGTATGCGGACATTAATGATTGCATTTTTGCTTAAGACATTAGTTAAAGATTGATCGATGTTCGGGTGGTGGTGGGGAAGCTTACGGTTATATTATGTGTTTGTGTAATTGAAGCCATATTGACCGAATTTGATGATGTTATTCTCTTTGACTTCAGTTCTACCAGTGATGTGAGGTTTGACGAAAGATAAGATCGCTTTTGGGTGATAAATAATATAACGACAAATGTGAAGTCATTACCCATGATATACGCAGTTTGTTTTCAAATGCACCTGCAAATCATTTAGCTACTGTTAATTAAAACATCTTGATCCTCGTGAGAAGTTTGTACTGAAGGAAGCATTGATCGGTTATATAGTAAGTTTATCCTTTTGAACAAGTTGAAATGTGTTTTCAATCGTTAATAAAATATTTTATTTTCAACGAAATTTTTACGATGGCTTTAAGCGGTTATCATTAAATTAACATATTTCTCAACTGGTCGTGAGTTAGTTAATGTTGTCTCAGCGTTAAATCTCGTGTAGTGCCGCGTTTAACCTGAATTTAATGATTTATATTGGCTTGCGTTACTGAAATTTTGTAATTTCAAAGATTCCGCTTCATTTTAAATATATCTTTTTGTTGTTCACTTCTGAATATCTTTAGCTGTTACAATCTCTAAGTCACTAAAGCTACTTAGTACGAATATGTTTTGAACAAAATATAACCCCGAAGTTCTTGAGGAAATAAGAATGTTTTGCACTCCTGAATGAAATTAATTGATTAATTTTAAGAAAGAACGAATGAGAGCTGTTTTGTCTTTTCTTATGTAGTCTCACAACTCTTTTCGTTCTTCTTTGGAAAGATTTTAATAACATTTTGATAGTTTCTTTTAATGCTTTATTTTATTACTTAGAAAAATAATAGTAACAGAAATTGCAGTAAATTTTATAAGCTTTAAGCGGATTCATGTTTGAGTGACGATAAACAAGTTCATTTACAGCAATCATCCAAGAGTAGGAATCGCTGTTAGGACTAATTTCCGCAAGCTTTGAAGTTTTATTGAATGTGCGAAGCGTTAGGTATAATAAAGCATTCAATGAACAGTCAGAATTGGGCGAAACCTCATAACGTGCATTTAGAAG